TCTTGGCCTCTTCTTCGGCCTTCTTCTTATCGGCTTCAGTCTTCTTGTCAGCCTCGGCCTTCTTCTTGGCCTCCTCTTCGGCCTTCTTCTTATCGGTTTCAGTCTTCTTATCGGCTTCGGCCTTCTTCTTGGCCTCCTCTTCGGCCTTCTTCTTATCGGCTTCAGTCTTCTTGTCAGCTTCGGCCTTCTTCTTGGCCTCCTCTTCGGCCTTCTTCTTATCGGCTTCAGTCTTCTTATCGGCTTCGGCCTTCTTCTTGGCCTCCTCTTCGGCCTTCTTCTTATCGGCTGCAGTCTTCTTGTCAGCTTCGGCCTTCTTCTTGGCCTCCTCTTCGGCCTTCTTCTTATCGGCTGCAGTCTTCTTGTCAGCTTCGGCCTTCTTCTTGGCCTCCTCTTCGGCCTTCTTCTTATCGGCTGCAGTCTTCTTGTCAGCTTCGGCCTTCTTCTTGGCCTCCTCTTCGGCCTTCTTCTTATCGGTTTCAGTCTTCTTATCGGCTTCGGCCTTCTTCTTGGCCTCCTCTTCGGCCTTCTTCTTATCGGCTGCAGTCTTCTTGTCAGCTTCGGCCTTCTTCTTGGCCTCCTCTTCGGCCTTCTTCTTATCGGTTTCAGTCTTCTTATCGGCTTCGGCCTTCTTCTTGGCCTCCTCTTCGGCCTTCTTCTTATCGGCTGCAGTCTTCTTGTCAGCTTCGGCCTTCTTCTTGGCCTCCTCTTCGGCCTTCTTCTTGGCCTCCTCTTCGGCCTTCTTCTTATCGGCTGCAGTCTTCTTGTCAGCTTCGGCCTTCTTCTTGGCCTCCTCTTCGGCCTTCTTCTTATCGGCTGCAGTCTTCTTGTCAGCTTCGGCCTTCTTCTTGGCCTCCTCCTCGGCCTTCTTCTTATCGGCTTCAGTCTTCTTGTCAGCTTCGGCCTTCTTCTTGGCCTCCTCCTCGGCCTTCTTCTTATCGGCTTCAGTCTTCTTGTCAGCTTCGGCCTTCTTCTTGGCCTCCTCTTCGGCCTTCTTCTTATCGGCTTCAGTCTTCTTATCGGCTTCAGTCTTCTTGTCAGCCTCGGCCTTCTTCTTGGCCTCCTCCTCGGCCTTCTTCTTATCGGCTTCAGTCTTCTTGTCAGCTTCGGCCTTCTTCTTGGCCTCCTCTTCGGCCTTCTTCTTATCGGCTTCAGTCTTCTTGTCAGCTTCGGCCTTCTTCTTGGCCTCCTCCTCGGCCTTCTTCTTATCGGCTTCAGTCTTCTTATCGGCTTCAGTCTTCTTGTCAGCTTCGGCCTTCTTCTTGGCCTCCTCTTCGGCCTTCTTCTTATCGGCTTCAGTCTTCTTGTCAGCTTCGGCCTTCTTCTTGGCCTCCTCCTCGGCCTTCTTCTTATCGGCTTCAGTCTTCTTATCGGCTTCAGTCTTCTTGTCAGCCTCGGCCTTCTTCTTGGCCTCCTCTTCGGCCTTCTTCTTATCGGCTTCAGTCTTCTTGTCAGCTTCGGCCTTCTTCTTGGCCTCTTCTTCGGCCTTCTTCTTATCGGCTTCAGTCTTCTTGTCAGCCTCGGCCTTCTTCTTGGCCTCCTCTTCGGCCTTCTTCTTATCGGCTGCAGTCTTCTTGTCAGCTTCGGCCTTCTTCTTGGCCTCCTCCTCGGCCTTCTTCTTATCGGCTTCAGTCTTCTTATCGGCTTCAGTCTTCTTGTCAGCCTCGGCCTTCTTCTTGGCCTCCTCCTCGGCCTTCTTCTTATCGGCTTCAGTCTTCTTGTCAGCTTCGGCCTTCTTCTTGGCCTCCTCTTCGGCCTTCTTCTTATCGGCTGCAGTCTTCTTGTCAGCTTCGGCCTTCTTCTTGGCCTCCTCTTCGGCCTTCTTCTTATCGGCTGCAGTCTTCTTGTCAGCTTCGGCCTTCTTCTTGGCCTCCTCCTCGGCCTTCTTCTTATCGGCTTCAGTCTTCTTATCGGCTTCAGTCTTCTTGTCAGCCTCGGCCTTCTTCTTGGCCTCCTCCTCGGCCTTCTTCTTATCGGCTTCAGTCTTCTTGTCAGCTTCGGCCTTCTTCTTGGCCTCCTCTTCGGCCTTCTTCTTATCGGCTGCAGTCTTCTTGTCAGCTTCGGCCTTCTTCTTGGCCTCCTCTTCGGCCTTCTTCTTATCGGCTGCAGTCTTCTTGTCAGCTTCGGCCTTCTTCTTGGCCTCCTCTTCGGCCTTCTTCTTATCGGCTGCAGTCTTCTTGTCAGCTTCGGCCTTCTTCTTGGCCTCCTCTTCGGCCTTCTTCTTATCGGCTGCAGTCTTCTTGTCAGCTTCGGCCTTCTTCTTGGCCTCCTCCTCGGCCTTCTTCTTATCGGCTTCAGTCTTCTTATCGGCTTCAGTCTTCTTGTCAGCCTCGGCCTTCTTCTTGGCCTCCTCCTCGGCCTTCTTCTTATCGGCTTCAGTCTTCTTGTCAGCTTCGGCCTTCTTCTTGGCCTCCTCTTCGGCCTTCTTCTTATCGGCTTCAGTCTTCTTGTCAGCTTCGGCCTTCTTCTTGGCCTCCTCCTCGGCCTTCTTCTTATCGGCTTCAGTCTTCTTGTCAGCTTCGGCCTTCTTCTTGGCCTCCTCTTCGGCCTTCTTCTTATCGGCTTCAGTCTTCTTATCGGCTTCAGTCTTCTTGTCAGCTTCGGCCTTCTTCTTGGCCTCCTCCTCGGCCTTCTTCTTATCGGCTTCAGTCTTCTTGTCAGCTTCGGCCTTCTTCTTGGCCTCCTCTTCGGCCTTCTTCTTATCGGCTGCAGTCTTCTTGTCAGCTTCGGCCTTCTTCTTGGCCTCCTCTTCGGCCTTCTTCTTATCGGCTTCAGTCTTCTTGTCAGCTTCGGCCTTCTTCTTGGCCTCCTCTTCGGCCTTCTTCTTATCGGCTTCAGTCTTCTTATCAGCTTCGGCCTTCTTCTTGGCCTCCTCTTCGGCCTTCTTCTTATCGGCTTCAGTCTTCTTATCAGCTTCGGCCTTCTTCTTGGCCTCCTCTTCGGCCTTCTTCTTATCGGCTTCAGTCTTCTTATCAGCTTCGGCCTTCTTCTTGGCCTCCTCTTCGGCCTTCTTCTTATCGGCTTCAGTCTTCTTGTCAGCTTCGGCCTTCTTCTTGGCCTCCTCTTCGGCCTTCTTCTTATCGGCTTCAGTCTTCTTATCAGCTTCGGCCTTCTTCTTGGCCTCCTCTTCGGCCTTCTTCTTATCGGCTTCAGTCTTCTTGTCAGCTTCGGCCTTCTTCTTATCTGCTTCAGTCTTCTTGTCAGCTTCGGCCTTCTTCTTGGCCTCCTCCTCGGCCTTCTTCTTATCGGCTTCAGTCTTCTTGTCAGCTTCGGCCTTCTTCTTGGCCTCCTCTTCGGCCTTCTTCTTATCGGCTTCAGTCTTCTTATCAGCTTCGGCCTTCTTCTTGGCCTCCTCTTCGGCCTTCTTCTTATCGGCTTCAGTCTTCTTGTCAGCTTCGGCCTTCTTCTTGGCCTCCTCTTCGGCCTTCTTCTTATCGGCTTCAGTCTTCTTATCTGCTTCAGTCTTCTTGTCAGCCTCGGCCTTCTTCTTGGCCTCCTCCTCGGCCTTCTTCTTATCGGCTTCAGTCTTCTTGTCAGCTTCGGCCTTCTTCTTGGCCTCCTCTTCGGCCTTCTTCTTATCGGCTTCAGTCTTCTTATCGGCTTCAGTCTTTTTGTCAGCTTCGGCCTTCTTCTTGGCCTCCTCCTCGGCCTTCTTCTTATCGGCTTCAGTCTTCTTGTCAGCTTCGGCCTTCTTCTTGGCCTCCTCTTCGGCCTTCTTCTTATCGGCTTCAGTCTTCTTATCTGCTTCAGTCTTCTTGTCAGCCTCGGCCTTCTTCTTGGCCTCCTCCTCGGCCTTCTTCTTATCGGCTTCAGTCTTCTTGTCAGCTTCGGCCTTCTTCTTGGCCTCCTCTTCGGCCTTCTTCTTATCGGCTTCAGTCTTCTTATCGGCTTCAGTCTTTTTGTCAGCTTCGGCCTTCTTCTTGGCCTCCTCTTCGGCCTTCTTCTTATCGGCTTCAGTCTTCTTATCTGCTTCAGTCTTCTTGTCAGCCTCGGCCTTCTTCTTGGCCTCCTCCTCGGCCTTCTTCTTATCGGCTTCAGTCTTTTTGTCAGCTTCGGCCTTCTTCTTGGCCTCCTCCTCGGCCTTCTTCTTATCGGCTTCAGTCTTCTTGTCAGCTTCGGCCTTCTTCTTGGCCTCCTCTTCGGCCTTCTTCTTATCGGCTTCAGTCTTCTTGTCAGCTTCGGCCTTCTTCTTGGCCTCTTCTTCGGCCTTCTTCTTATCGGCTTCAGTCTTCTTGTCAGCCTCGGCCTTCTTCTTGGCCTCCTCTTCGGCCTTCTTCTTATCGGCTGCAGTCTTCTTGTCAGCTTCGGCCTTCTTCTTGGCCTCCTCCTCGGCCTTCTTCTTATCGGCTTCAGTCTTCTTGTCAGCTTCGGCCTTCTTCTTGGCCTCCTCTTCGGCCTTCTTCTTATCGGCTTCAGTCTTCTTGTCAGCTTCGGCCTTCTTCTTGGCCTCCTCTTCGGCCTTCTTCTTATCGGCTTCAGTCTTCTTATCTGCTTCAGTCTTCTTGTCAGCCTCGGCCTTCTTCTTGGCCTCCTCCTCGGCCTTCTTCTTATCGGCTTCAGTCTTCTTGTCAGCTTCGGCCTTCTTCTTGGCCTCCTCTTCGGCCTTCTTCTTATCGGCTTCAGTCTTCTTGTCAGCTTCGGCCTTCTTCTTGGCCTCTTCTTCGGCCTTCTTCTTATCGGCTTCAGTCTTCTTGTCAGCCTCGGCCTTCTTCTTGGCCTCCTCTTCGGCCTTCTTCTTATCGGCTGCAGTCTTCTTGTCAGCTTCGGCCTTCTTCTTGGCCTCCTCCTCGGCCTTCTTCTTATCGGCTTCAGTCTTCTTGTCAGCCTCGGCCTTCTTCTTGGCCTCTTCTTCGGCCTTCTTCTTATCGGCTTCAGTCTTCTTGTCAGCCTCGGCCTTCTTCTTGGCCTCCTCTTCGGCCTTCGTCTTATCGGCTTCAGTCTTCTTGTCAGCCTCGGCCTTCTTCTTATCGGCTTCAGTCTTTTTATCGGCTTCAGTCTTCTTGTCAGCCTCGGCCTTCTTCTTGGCCTCCTCTTCGGCCTTCTTCTTATCGTCTTCAGTCTTTTTATCGGCTTCAGTCTTCTTGGCCTCCTCCTCGACCTTCTTCTTATCGGCTTCAGTCTTCTTGTCAGCTTCGGCCTTCTTCTTGGCCTCCTCTTCGGCCTTCTTCTTATCGGCTTCAGTCTTCTTGTCAGCTTCGGCCTTCTTCTTGGCCTCCTCTTCGGCCTTCTTCTTATCGGCTTCAGTCTTCTTATCTGCTTCAGTCTTCTTGTCAGCCTCGGCCTTCTTCTTGGCCTCCTCCTCGGCCTTCTTCTTATCGGCTTCAGTCTTCTTGTCAGCTTCGGCCTTCTTCTTGGCCTCCTCTTCGGCCTTCTTCTTATCGGCTTCAGTCTTCTTGTCAGCTTCGGCCTTCTTCTTGGCCTCCTCTTCGGCCTTCTTCTTATCGGCTTCAGTCTTCTTATCTGCTTCAGTCTTCTTGTCAGCCTCGGCCTTCTTCTTGGCCTCTTCTTCGGCCTTCTTCTTATCGGCTTCAGTCTTCTTGTCAGCCTCGGCCTTCTTCTTGGCCTCCTCTTCGGCCTTCGTCTTATCGGCTTCAGTCTTCTTGTCAGCCTCGGCCTTCTTCTTATCGGCTTCAGTCTTTTTATCGGCTTCAGTCTTCTTGTCAGCCTCGGCCTTCTTCTTGGCCTCCTCTTCGGCCTTCTTCTTATCGGCTTCAGTCTTTTTATCGGCTTCAGTCTTCTTGTCAGCCTCGGCCTTCTTCTTATCGGCTTCAGTCTTCTTATCTGCTTCAGTCTTCTTGTCAGCCTCGGCCTTCTTCTTGGCCTCCTCTTCGGCCTTCTTCTTATCGGCTTCAGTCTTTTTATCGGCTTCAGTCTTCTTGTCAGCCTCGGCCTTCTTCTTATCGGCTTCAGTCTTTTTATCGGCTTCAGTCTTCTTGTCAGCCTCGGCCTTCTTCTTGGCCTCCTCTTCGGCCTTCTTCTTATCGGCTTCAGTCTTTTTATCGGCTTCAGTCTTCTTGTCAGCCTCGGCCTTCTTCTTATCGGCTTCAGTCTTTTTATCGGCTTCAGTCTTCTTGTCAGCCTCGGCCTTCTTCTTATCGGCTTCAGTCTTTTTATCGGCTTCAGTCTTCTTGTCAGCCTCGGCCTTCTTCTTGGCCTCCTCTTCGGCCTTCTTCTTATCGGCTTCAGTCTTTTTATCGGCTTCAGTCTTCTTGTCAGCCTCGGCCTTCTTCTTGGCCTCCTCTTCGGCCTTCTTCTTATCGGCTTCAGTCTTTTTATCGGCTTCAGTCTTCTTGTCAGCTTCGGCCTTCTTCTTGGCCTCCTCTTCGGCCTTCTTCTTATCGGCTTCAGTCTTCTTGTCAGCTTCGGCCTTCTTCTTGGCCTCTTCTTCGGCCTTCTTCTTATCGGCTTCAGTCTTTTTATCGGCTTCAGTCTTCTTGTCAGCCTCGGCCTTCTTCTTGGCCTCCTCTTCGGCCTTCTTCTTATCGGCTTCAGTCTTTTTATCGGCTTCAGTCTTCTTGTCAGCCTCGGCCTTCTTCTTGGCCTCCTCTTCGGCCTTCTTCTTATCGGCTTCAGTCTTTTTATCGGCTTCGGCCTTCTTCTTGGCCTCTTCTTCGGCCTTCTTCTTATCGGCTTCAGTCTTCTTGTCAGCCTCGGCCTTCTTCTTGGCCTCTTCTTCGGCCTTCTTCTTATCGGCTTCAGTCTTCTTGTCAGCCTCGGCCTTCTTCTTGGCCTCCTCTTCGGCCTTCTTCTTATCGGCTTCAGTCTTTTTATCGGCTTCGGCCTTCTTCTTGGCCTCTTCTTCGGCCTTCTTCTTATCGGCTTCAGTCTTCTTGTCAGCCTCGGCCTTCTTCTTGGCCTCTTCTTCGGCCTTCTTCTTATCGGCTTCAGTCTTCTTGTCAGCCTCGGCCTTCTTCTTGGCCTCTTCTTCGGCCTTCTTCTTATCGGCTTCAGTCTTCTTGTCAGCCTCGGCCTTCTTCTTGGCCTCCTCTTCGGCCTTCTTCTTATCGGCTTCAGTCTTTTTATCGGCTTCGGCCTTCTTCTTGGCCTCTTCTTCGGCCTTCTTCTTATCGGCTTCAGTCTTTTTATCGGCTTCGGCCTTCTTCTTGGCCTCTTCTTCGGCCTTCTTCTTATCGGCTTCAGTCTTCCTGTCAGCCTCGGCCTTCTTCTTGGCCTCTTCTTCGGCCTTCTTCTTATCGGCTTCAGTCTTCTTGTCAGCCTCGGCCTTCTTCTTGGCCTCTTCTTCGGCCTTCTTCTTATCGGCTTCAGTCTTCTTGTCAGCCTCGGCCTTCTTCTTGGCCTCCTCTTCGGCCTTCTTCTTATCGGCTGCAGTCTTCTTGTCAGCCTCGGCCTTCTTCTTGGCCTCCTCCTCGGCCTTCTTCTTATCGGCTTCAGTCTTCTTGTCAGCTTCGGCCTTCTTCTTGGCCTCCTCTTCGGCCTTCTTCTTATCGGCTTCAGTCTTCTTATCGGCTTCAGTCTTCTTGTCAGCCTCGGCCTTCTTCTTGGCCTCCTCTTCGGCCTTCTTCTTATCGGCTTCAGTCTTCTTGTCAGCTTCGGCCTTCTTCTTGGCCTCCTCCTCGGCCTTCTTCTTATCGGCTTCAGTCTTCTTGTCAGCTTCGGCCTTCTTCTTGGCCTCCTCTTCGGCCTTCTTCTTATCGGCTTCAGTCTTCTTATCGGCTTCAGTCTTCTTGTCAGCTTCGGCCTTCTTCTTGGCCTCCTCCTCGGCCTTCTTCTTATCGGCTTCAGTCTTCTTGTCAGCTTCGGCCTTCTTCTTGGCCTCCTCTTCGGCCTTCTTCTTATCGGCTTCAGTCTTCTTATCTGCTTCAGTCTTCTTGTCAGCCTCGGCCTTCTTCTTGGCCTCCTCTTCGGCCTTCGTCTTATCGGCTTCAGTCTTCTTGTCAGCCTCGGCCTTCTTCTTATCGGCTTCAGTCTTTTTATCGGCTTCAGTCTTCTTGTCAGCCTCGGCCTTCTTCTTGGCCTCCTCTTCGGCCTTCTTCTTATCGGCTTCAGTCTTTTTATCGGCTTCAGTCTTCTTGTCAGCCTCGGCCTTCTTCTTATCGGCTTCAGTCTTTTTATCGGCTTCAGTCTTCTTGTCAGCCTCGGCCTTCTTCTTGGCCTCCTCTTCGGCCTTCTTCTTATCGGCTTCAGTCTTCTTGTCAGCTTCGGCCTTCTTCTTGGCCTCCTCTTCGGCCTTCTTCTTATCGGCTTCAGTCTTCTTGTCAGCTTCGGCCTTCTTCTTGGCCTCCTCTTCGGCCTTCTTCTTATCGGCTTCAGTCTTCTTATCGGCTTCAGCCTTCTTGTCAGCTTCGGCCTCCTTCTTGGCCTCTTCTTCGGCCTTCTTCTTATCGGCTTCAGTCTTCTTGTCAGCCTCGGCCTTCTTCTTGGCCTCTTCTTCGGCCTTCTTCTTATCGGCTTCAGTCTTCTTGTCAGCCTCGGCCTTCTTCTTGGCCTCTTCTTCGGCCTTCTTCTTATCGGCTTCAGTCTTCTTATCGGCTTCAGCCTTCTTGTCAGCTTCGGCCTTCTTCTCGGCCTCTTCTTCGGCCTTCTTCTTATCGGCTTCAGTCTTCTTGTCAGCCTCGGCCTTCTTCTTGGCCTCCTCTTCGGCCTTCTTCTTATCGGCTTCAGTCTTCTTGTCAGCCTCGGCCTTCTTCTTATCGGCTTCAGTCTTCTTATCGGCTTCAGTCTTCTTGTCAGCCTCGGCCTTCTTCTTGGCCTCCTCTTCGGCCTTCTTCTTATCGGCTTCAGTCTTCTTATCGGCTTCAGTCTTCTTGTCAGCCTCGGCCTTCTTCTTGGCCTCCTCTTCGGCCTTCTTCTTATCGGCTTCAGTCTTCTTATCTGCTTCAGTCTTCTTGTCAGCCTCGGCCTTCTTCTTATCGGCTTCAGTCTTCTTGTCAGCTTCGGCCTTCTTCTTGGCCTCTTCTTCGGCCTTCTTCTTATCGGCTTCAGTCTTCTTGTCAGCCTCGGCCTTCTTCTTGGCCTCCTCTTCGGCCTTCTTCTTATCGGCTTCAGTCTTCTTATCGGCTTCAGTCTTCTTGTCAGCCTCGGCCTTCTTCTTGGCCTCCTCTTCGGCCTTCTTCTTATCGGCTTCAGTCTTCTTATCGGCTTCAGCCTTCTTGTCAGCTTCGGCCTTCTTCTCGGCCTCCTCTTCGGCCTTCTTCTTATCGGCTTCAGCCTTCTTGTCAGCTTCGGCCTTCTTCTCGGCCTCCTCTTCGGCCTTCTTCTTATCGGCTTCAGTCTTCTTGTCAGCCTCGGCCTTCTTCTTGGCCTCCTCTTCGGCCTTCTTCTTATCGGCTTCAGTCTTCTTATCGGCTTCAGCCTTCTTGTCAGCTTCGGCTTTCTTCTCGGCCTCTCCTTCGGCCTTCTTCTTATCGGCTTCAGTCTTCTTGTCAGCCTCGGCCTTCTTCTTGGCCTCCTCTTCGGCCTTCTTCTTATCGGCTTCAGTCTTCTTGTCAGCTTCGGCCTTCTTCTCGGCCTCTTCTTCAGCCTTCTTCTTATCGGCTTCAGTCTTCTTGTCAGCCTCGGCCTTCTTCTTGGCCTCCTCTTCGGCCTTCTTCTTATCGGCTTCAGTCTTCTTATCGGCTTCAGCCTTCTTGTCAGCTTCGGCCTTCTTCTTGGCCTCTTCTTCGGCCTTCTTCTTATCGGCTTCAGTCTTCTTGTCAGCCTCGGCCTTCTTCTTGGCCTCCTCTTCGGCCTTCTTCTTATCGGCTTCAGTCTTCTTATCGGCTTCAGCCTTCTTGTCAGCTTCGGCCTTCTTCTTGGCCTCTTCTTCGGCCTTCTTCTTATCGGCTTCAGTCTTCTTGTCAGCCTCGGCGTTCTTTTTATCGGCTTCAGTCTTCTTGTCAGCCTCGGCCTTCTTCTTGGCCTCTTCTTCGGCCTTCTTCTTATCGGCTTCAGTCTTCTTGTCAGCCTCGGCCTTCTTCTTGGCCTCTTCTTCGGCCTTCTTCTTATCGGCTTCAGTCTTCTTGTCAGCCTCGGCGTTCTTTTTATCGGCTTCAGTCTTCTTGTCAGCCTCGGCCTTCTTCTTGGCCTCTTCTTCGGCCTTCTTCTTATCGGCTTCAGTCTTCTTGTCAGCCTCGGCCTTCTTCTTGGCCTCCTCTTCGGCCTTCTTTTTATCGGCTTCAGTCTTCTTATCGGCTTCAGCCTTCTTGTCAGCTTCGGCCTTCTTCTTGGCCTCTTCTTCGGCCTTCTTCTTATCGGCTTCAGTCTTCTTGTCAGCCTCGGCCTTCTTCTTGGCCTCCTCTTCGGCCTTCTTCTTATCGGCTTCAGTCTTCTTGTCAGCCTCGGCCTTCTTTTTATCGGCTTCAGTCTTCTTGTCAGCTTCGGCCTTCTTCTTGGCCTCTTCTTCGGCCTTCTTCTTATCGGCTTCAGTCTTCTTGTCAGCTTCGGCCTTCTTCTTGGCCTCCTCTTCGGCCTTCTTCTTATCGGCTTCAGTCTTCTTGTCAGCCTCGGCCTTCTTCTTGGCCTCCTCTTCGGCCTTCTTCTTATCGGCTTCAGCCTTCTTATCGGCTTCAGCCTTCTTGTCAGCTTCGGCCTTCTTCTTGGCCTCTTCTTCGGCCTTCTTCTTATCGGCTTCAGTCTTCTTGTCAGCCTCGGCCTTCTTCTTGGCCTCTTCTTCGGCCTTCTTCTTATCGGCTTCAGTCTTCTTGTCAGCCTCGGCCTTCTTCTTGGCCTCTTCTTCGGCCTTCTTCTTATCGGCTTCAGTCTTCTTGTCAGCTTCGGCCTTCTTCTTGGCCTCCTCTTCGGCCTTCTTCTTATCGGCTTCAGTCTTCTTGTCAGCTTCGGCCTTCTTTTTGGCCTCCTCTTCGGCCTTCTTCTTATCGGCTTCAGCCTTCTTATCGGCTTCAGCCTTCTTGTCAGCTTCGGCCTTCTTCTTGGCCTCTTCTTCGGCCTTCTTCTTATCGGCTTCAGTCTTCTTGTCAGCCTCGGCCTTCTTCTTGGCCTCTTCTTCGGCCTTCTTCTTATCGGCTTCAGTCTTCTTGTCAGCCTCGGCCTTCTTCTTGGCCTCCTCTTCGGCCTTCTTCTTATCGGCTTCAGTCTTCTTGTCAGCTTCGGCCTTCTTCTTGGCCTCCTCTTCGGCCTTCTTCTTATCGGCTTCAGTCTTCTTGTCAGCCTCGGCCTTCTTCTTGGCCTCCTCTTCGGCCTTCTTCTTATCGGCTTCAGTCTTCTTGTCAGCCTCGGCCTTCTTCTTGGCCTCCTCTTCGGCCTTCTTCTTATCGGCTGCAGTCTTCTTGTCAGCTTCGGCCTTCTTCTTGGCCTCCTCTTCGGCCTTCTTCTTATCGGCTTCAGTCTTCTTCTCAGCCTCGGCCTTCTTCTTGGCCTCCTCTTCGGCCTTCTTCTTATCGGCTTCAGTCTTCTTGTCAGCTTCGGCCTTCTTCTTGGCCTCCTCTTCGGCCTTCTTCTTATCGGTTTCAGTCTTCTTATCGGCTTCGGCCTTCTTATCGGCTTCAGTCTTCTTGTCAGCCTCGGCCTTCTTCTTGGCCTCCTCTTCGGCCTTCTTCTTATCGGCTTCAGTCTTCTTGTCAGCTTCGGCCTTCTTCTTGGCCTCCTCTTCGGCCTTCTTCTTATCGGCTTCAGTCTTCTTGTCAGCTTCGGCCTTCTTCTTGGCCTCCTCTTCGGCCTTCTTCTTATCGGTTTCAGTCTTCTTATCGGCTTCGGCCTTCTTCTTGGCCTCCTCTTCGGCCTTCTTCTTATCGGCTTCAGTCTTCTTGTCAGCTTCGGCCTTCTTCTTGGCCTCCTCTTCGGCCTTCTTCTTATCGGCTTCAGTCTTCTTCTCAGCCTCGGCCTTCTTCTTGGCCTCCTCTTCGGCCTTCTTCTTATCGGCTTCAGTCTTCTTGTCAGCCTCGGCCTTCTTCTTGGCCTCCTCTTCGGCCTTCTTCTTATCGGCTTCAGTCTTCTTATCGGCTTCAGTCTTCTTATCGGCTTCAGTCTTCTTATCGGCTTCAGTCTTCTTATCGGCTTCAGTCTTCTTATCGGCTTCAGTCTTCTTATCGGCTTCAGTCTTCTTATCGGCTTCAGTCTTCTTGTCAGCTTCGGCCTTCTTCTTGGCCTCCTCTTCGGCCTTCTTCTTATCGGCTTCAGTCTTCTTGTCAGCCTCGGCCTTCTTCTTGGCCTCCTCTTCGGCCTTCTTCTTATCGGCTTCAGTCTTCTTATCGGCTTCAGTCTTCTTATCGGCTTCAGTCTTCTTATCGGCTTCAGTCTTCTTATCGGCTTCAGTCTTCTTATCGGCTTCAGTCTTCTTGTCAGCCTCGGCCTTCTTCTTGGCCTCCTCTTCGGCCTTCTTCTTATCGGCTTCAGTCTTCTTGTCAGCCTCGGCCTTCTTCTTGGCCTCCTCTTCGGCCTTCTTCTTATCGGCTTCAGTCTTCTTGTCAGCCTCGGCCTTCTTCTTGGCCTCCTCTTCGGCCTTCTTCTTATCGGCTTCAGTCTTCTTGTCAGCTTCGGCCTTCTTCTTGGCCTCCTCTTCGGCCTTCTTCTTATCGGTTTCAGTCTTCTTATCGGCTTCGGCCTTCTTCTTGGCCTCCTCTTCGGCCTTCTTCTTATCGGCTGCAGTCTTCTTGTCAGCTTCGGCCTTCTTCTTGGCCTCCTCTTCGGCCTTCTTCTTATCGGCTTCAGTCTTCTTGTCAGCTTCGGCCTTCTTCTTGGCCTCCTCTTCAGCCTTCTTCTTATCGGCTTCAGTCTTCTTGTCAGCTTCGGCCTTCTTCTTGGCCTCTTCTTCGGCCTTCTTCTTGGCCTCCTCTTCGGCCTTCTTCTTATCGGCTTCAGTCTTCTTATCGGCTTCAGTCTTCTTATCGGCTTCAGTCTTCTTATCGGCTTCAGTCTTCTTATCGGCTTCAGTCTTCTTATCGGCTTCAGTCTTCTTATCGGCTTCAGTCTTCTTATCGGCTTCAGTCTTCTTATCGGCTTCAGTCTTCTTGTCAGCTTCGGCCTTCTTCTTGGCCTCCTCTTCGGCCTTCTTCTTATCGGCTTCAGTCTTCTTGTCAGCCTCGGCCTTCTTCTTGGCCTCCTCTTCGGCCTTCTTCTTATCGGCTTCAGTCTTCTTATCGGCTTCAGTCTTCTTATCGGCTTCAGTCTTCTTATCGGCTTCAGTCTTCTTATCGGCTTCAGTCTTCTTATCGGCTTCAGTCTTCTTGTCAGCCTCGGCCTTCTTCTTGGCCTCCTCTTCGGCCTTCTTCTTATCGGCTTCAGTCTTCTTGTCAGCCTCGGCCTTCTTCTTGGCCTCCTCTTCGGCCTTCTTCTTATCGGCTTCAGTCTTCTTGTCAGCCTCGGCCTTCTTCTTGGCCTCCTCTTCGGCCTTCTTCTTATCGGCTTCAGTCTTCTTGTCAGCTTCGGCCTTCTTCTTGGCCTCCTCTTCGGCCTTCTTCTTATCGGTTTCAGTCTTCTTATCGGCTTCGGCCTTCTTCTTGGCCTCCTCTTCGGCCTTCTTCTTATCGGCTGCAGTCTTCTTGTCAGCTTCGGCCTTCTTCTTGGCCTCCTCTTCGGCCTTCTTCTTATCGGCTTCAGTCTTCTTGTCAGCTTCGGCCTTCTTCTTGGCCTCCTCTTCAGCCTTCTTCTTATCGGCTTCAGTCTTCTTGTCAGCTTCGGCCTTCTTCTTGGCCTCTTCTTCGGCCTTCTTCTTATCGGCTTCAGTCTTCTTATCGCCTTCAGTCTTCTTGTCAGCCTCGGCCTTCTTCTTGGCCTCCTCTTCGGCCTTCTTCTTATCGGCTTCAGTCTTCTTGTCAGCCTCGGCCTTCTTCTTGGCCTCCTCTTCGGCCTTCTTCTTATCGGCTTCAGTCTTCTTGTCAGCCTCGGCCTTCTTCTTGGCCTCCTCTTCGGCCTTCTTCTTATCGGCTTCAGTCTTCTTCTCAGCCTCGGCCTTCTTCTTGGCCTCCTCTTCGGCCTTCTTCTTATCGGCTTCAGTCTTCTTCTCAGCCTCGGCCTTCTTCTTGGCCTCCTCTTCGGCCTTCTTCTTATCGGCTTCAGTCTTCTTGTCAGCCTCGGCCTTCTTTTTATCGGCTTCAGTCTTCTTGTCAGCCTCGGCCTCCTTCTTGGCCTCCTCTTCGGCCTTCTTCTTATCGGCTTCAGTCTTCTTCTCAGCCTCGGCCTTCTTCTTGGCCTCCTCTTCGGCCTTCTTCTTATCGGCTTCAGTCTTCTTGTCAGCCTCGGCCTTCTTCTTGGCCTCCTCTTCGGCCTTCTTCTTATCGGCTTCAGTCTTCTTCTCAGCCTCTGCCTTCTTCTTGGCCTCCTCTTCGGCCTTCTTCTTATCGGCTTCAGTCTTCTTGTCAGCTTCGGCCTTCTTCTTGGCCTCCTCTTCGGCCTTCTTCTTATCGGCTTCAGTCTTCTTATCGGCTTCAGTCTTCTTGTCAGCCTCGGCCTTCTTCTTGGCATCCTCTTCAGCCTTCTTCTTATCGGCTTCAGTCTTCTTGTCAGCCTCAGGCTTCTTCTTGGCCTCTTCTTCGGCCTTCTTCTTATCGGCTTCAGTCTTCTTGTCAGCTTCGGCCTTCTTCTTGGCATCCTCTTCAGCCTTCTTCTTATCGGCTTCAGTCTTCTTGTCAGCTTCGGCCTTCTTCTTGGCCTCTTCTTCAGCCTTCTTCTTGGCCTCTTCTTCGGCCTTCTTCTTGTCAGCTTCAGTCTTCTTGTCAGCTTCGGCCTTCTTCTTGGCATCCTCTTCAGCCTTATTCTTATCGGCTTCAGTCTTCTTGTCAGCCTCAGGCTTCTTCTTGGCCTCTTCTTCGGCCTTCTTCTTATCGGCTTCAGTCTTCTTGTCAGCCTCGGCCTTCTTCTTGGCCTCCTCTTCAGCCTTCTTCTTATCGGCTTCAGTCTTCTTGTCAGCCTCAGCCTTCTTCTTGGCCTCCTCTTCAGCCTTCTTCTTATCGGCTTCAGTCTTCTTGTCAGCCTCAGCCTTCTTCTTGGCCTCCTCTTCAGCCTTCTTCTTATCGGCTTCAGTCTTCTTGTCAGCCTCAGGCTTCTTCTTGGCATCCTCTTCAGCCTTCTTCTTATCGGCTTCAGTCTTCTTGTCAGCTTCGGCCTTCTTCTTGGCCTCTTCTTCGGCCTTCTTTTTGGCCTCCTCTTCAGCCTTCTTCTTATCGGCTTCAGTCTTCTTGTCAGCCTCGGCCTTCTTTTTGGCCTCTTCTTCGGCCTTCTTCTTGGCCTCCTCTTCAGCCTTCTTCTTATCGGTTTCAGTCTTCTTGTCAGCTTCGGCCTTCTTCTTGGCCTCCTCTTCAGCCTTCTTCTTATCGGCTTCAGTCTTCTTGTCAGCCTCAGGCTTCTTCTTGGCCTCTTCTTCGGCCTTCTTCTTATCGTCTTCAGTCTTCTTGTCAGCCTCAGGCTTCTTCTTGGCCTCTTCTTCGGCCTTCTTCTTATCGGCTTCAGTCTTCTTGTCAGCCTCAGCCTTCTTCTTGGCCTCCTCTTCAGCCTTCTTCTTATCGGCTTCAGTCTTCTTGTCAGCCTCAGCCTTCTTCTTGGCCTCTTCTTCGGCTTTCTTCTTATCGGCTTCAGTCTTCTTGTCAGCCTCGGCCTTCTTCTTGGCCTCTTCTTCAGCCTTCTTCTTATCGGCTTCAGTCTTCTTGTCAGCCTCAGCCTTCTTCTTATTGGCTTCAGTCTTCTTGTCAGCCTCAGCCTTCTTCTTGGCCTCCTCTTCAGCCTTCTTCTTATCGGCTTCAGTCTTCTTGTCAGCTTCGGCCTTCTTCTTGGCCTCCTCTTCAGCCTTCTTCTTATCGGCTTCAGTCTTCTTGTCAGCCTCAGCCTTCTTCTTGGCCTCTTCTTCGGCTTTCTTCTTATCGGCTTCAGTCTTCTTGTCAGCTTCGGCCTTCTTCTTGGCCTCCTCTTCAGCCTTCTTCTTATCGGCTTCAGTCTTCTTGTCAGCCTCAGCCTTCTTCTTATTGGCTTCAGTCTTCTTGTCAGCCTCAGCCTTCTTCTTGGCCTCCTCTTCAGCCTTCTTCTTATCGGCTTCAGTCTTCTTGTCAGCTTCGGCCTTCTTCTTGGCCTCCTCTTCAGCCTTCTTCTTATCGGCTTCAGTCTTCTTGTCAGCCTCAGCCTTCTTCTTGGCCTCTTCTTCGGCCTTCTTCTTATCGGCTTCAGTCTTCTTGTCAGCTTCGGCCTTCTTGTTGGCCTCCTCTTCAGCCTTCTTCTTATCGGCTTCAGTCTTCTTGTCAGCTTCGGCCTTCTTGTTGGCCTCCTCTTCAGCCTTCTTCTTATCGGCTTCAGTCTTCTTGTCAGCCTCGGCCTTATTTTTGGCCTCTTCTTCGGCCTTCTTCTTGGCCTCCTCTTCAGCCTTCTTCTTATCGGCTTCAGTCTTCTTGTCAGCTTCGGCCTTCTTCTTGGCCTCCTCTTCAGCCTTCTTCTTATCGGCTTCAGTCTTCTTGTCAGCTTCGGCCTTCTTCTTGGCCTCTTCTTCGGCCTTCTTTTTGGCCTCCTCTTCAGCCTTCTTCTTATCGGCTTCAGTCTTCTTGTCAGCCTCGGCCTTCTTTTTGGCCTCTTCTTCGGCCTTCTTCTTGGCCTCCTCTTCAGCCTTCTTCTTATCGGTTTCAGTCTGCTTGTCAGCTTCGGCCTTCTTCTTGGCCTCCTCTTCAGCCTTCTTCTTATCGGCTTCAGTCTTCTTGTCAGCCTCAGGCTTCTTCTTGGCCTCTTCTTCGGCCTTCTTCTTATCGGCTTCAGTCTTCTTGTCAGCCTCAGCCTTCTTCTTGGCCTCCTCTTCAGCCTTCTTCTTATCGGCTTCAGTCTTCTTGTCAGCCTCAGCCTTCTTCTTGGCCTCTTCTTCGGCTTTCTTCTTATCGGCTTCAGTCTTCTTGTCAGCCTCGGCCTTCTTCTTGGCCTCTTCTTCAGCCTTCTTCTTATCGGCTTCAGTCTTCTTGTCAGCCTCAGCCTTCTTCTTATCGGCTTCAGTCTTCTTCTCAGCCTCTGCCTTCTTCTTGGCCTCCTCTTCGGCCTTCTTCTTATCGGCTTCAGTCTTCTTGTCAGCTTCGGCCTTCTTCTTGGCCTCCTCTTCGGCCTTCTTCTTATCGGCTTCAGTCTTCTTATCGGCTTCAGTCTTCTTGTCAGCCTCGGCCTTCTTCTTGGCATCCTCTTCAGCCTTCTTCTTATCGGCTTCAGTCTTCTTGTCAGCCTCAGGCTTCTTCTTGGCCTCTTCTTCGGCCTTCTTCTTATCGGCTTCAGTCTTCTTGTCAGCTTCGGCCTTCTTCTTGGCATCCTCTTCAGCCTTCTTCTTATCGGCTTCAGTCTTCTTGTCAGCTTCGGCCTTCTTCTTGGCCTCTTCTTCAGCCTTCTTCTTGGCCTCTTCTTCGGCCTTCTTCTTGTCAGCTTCAGTCTTCTTGTCAGCTTCGGCCTTCTTCTTGGCATCCTCTTCAGCCTTCTTCTTATCGGCTTCAGTCTTCTTGTCAGCCTCAGGCTTCTTCTTGGCCTCTTCTTCGGCCTTCTTCTTATCGGCTTCAGTCTTCTTGTCAGCCTCGGCCTTCTTCTTGGCCTCCTCTTCAGCCTTCTTCTTATCGGCTTCAGTCTTCTTGTCAGCCTCAGCCTTCTTCTTGGCCTCCTCTTCAGCCTTCTTCTTATCGGCTTCAGTCTTCTTGTCAGCCTCAGCCTTCTTCTTGGCCTCCTCTTCAGCCTTCTTCTTATCGGCTTCAGTCTTCTTGTCAGCCTCAGGCTTCTTCTTGGCCTCTTCTTCGGCCTTCTTTTTATCGGCTTCAGTCTTCTTGTCAGCCTCGGCCTTCTTTTTGGCCTCTTCTTCAGCCTTCTTCTTGTCAGCTTCAGTCTTCTTGTCAGCTTCGGCCTTCTTCTTGGCATCCTCTTCAGCCTTCTTCTTATCGGCTTCAGTCTTCTTGTCAGCTTCGGCCTTCTTCTTGGCCTCTTCTTCGGCCTTCTTTTTGGCCTCCTCTTCAGCCTTCTTCTTATCGGCTTCAGTCTTCTTGTCAGCCTCGGCCTTCTTTTTGGCCTCTTCTTCGGCCTTCTTCTTGGCCTCCTCTTCAGCCTTCTTCTTATCGGTTTCAGTCTTCTTGTCAGCTTCGGCCTTCTTCTTGGCCTCCTCTTCAGCCTTCTTCTTATCGGCTTCAGTCTTCTTGTCAGCCTCAGGCTTCTTCTTGGCCTCTTCTTCGGCCTTCTTCTTATCGTCTTCAGTCTTCTTGTCAGCCTCAGGCTTCTTCTTGGCCTCTTCTTCGGCCTTCTTCTTATCGGCTTCAGTCTTCTTGTCAGCCTCAGCCTTCTTCTTGGCCTCCTCTTCAGCCTTCTTCTTATCGGCTTCAGTCTTCTTGTCAGCCTCAGCCTTCTTCTTGGCCTCTTCTTCGGCTTTCTTCTTATCGGCTTCAGTCTTCTTGTCAGCCTCGGCCTTCTTCTTGGCCTCTTCTTCAGCCTTCTTCTTATCGGCTTCAGTCTTCTTGTCAGCCTCAGCCTTCTTCTTATTGGCTTCAGTCTTCTTGTCAGCCTCAGCCTTCTTCTTGGCCTCCTCTTCAGCCTTCTTCTTATCGGCTTCAGTCTTCTTGTCAGCTTCGGCCTTCTTCTTGGCCTCCTCTTCAGCCTTCTTCTTATCGGCTTCAGTCTTCTTGTCAGCCTCAGCCTTCTTCTTGGCCTCTTCTTCGGCTTTCTTCTTATCGGCTTCAGTCTTCTTGTCAGCCTCAGATTTCTTCTTGGCCTCTTCTTCGGCCTTCTTCTTATCGGCTTCAGTCTTCTTGTCAGCTTCGGCCTTCTTGTTGGCCTCCTCTTCAGCCTTCTTCTTATCGGCTTCAGTCTTCTTGTCAGCTTCGGCCTTCTTGTTGGCCTCCTCTTCAGCCTTCTTCTTATCGGCTTCAGTCTTCTTGTCAGCCTCGGCCTTCTTTTTGGCCTCTTCTTCGGCCTTCTTCTTGGCCTCCTCTTCAGCCTTCTTCTTATCGGCTTCAGTCTTCTTGTCAGCTTCGGCCTTCTTCTTGGCCTCCTCTTCAGCCTTCTTCTTATCGGCTTCAGTCTTCTTGTCAGCTTCGGCCTTCTTCTTGGCCTCTTCTTCGGCCTTCTTTTTGGCCTCCTCTTCAGCCTTCTTCTTATCGGCTTCAGTCTTCTTGTCAGCCTCGGCCTTCTTTTTGGCCTCTTCTTCGGCCTTCTTCTTGGCCTCCTCTTCAGCCTTCTTCTTATCGGTTTCAGTCTGCTTGTCAGCTTCGGCCTTCTTCTTGGCCTCCTCTTCAGCCTTCTTCTTATCGGCTTCAGTCTTCTTGTCAGCCTCAGGCTTCTTCTTGGCCTCTTCTTCGGCCTTCTTCTTATCGGCTTCAGTCTTCTTGTCAGCCTCAGCCTTCTTCTTGGCCTCCTCTTCAGCCTTCTTCTTATCGGCTTCAGTCTTCTTGTCAGCCTCAGCCTTCTTCTTGGCCTCTTCTTCGGCTTTCTTCTTATCGGCTTCAGTCTTCTTGTCAGCCTCGGCCTTCTTCTTGGCCTCTTCTTCAGCCTTCTTCTTATCGGCTTCAGTCTTCTTGTCAGCCTCAGCCTTCTTCTTATTGGCTTCAGTCTTCTTGTCAGCCTCAGCCTTCTTCTTGGCCTCCTCTTCAGCCTTCTTCTTATCGGCTTCAGTCTTCTTGTCAGCTTCGGCCTTCTTCTTGGCCTCCTCTTCAGCCTTCTTCTTATCGGCTTCAGTCTTCTTGTCAGCCTCAGCCTTCTTCTTGGCCTCTTCTTCGGCTTTCTTCTTATCGGCTTCAGTCTTCTTGTCAGCCTCAGATTTCTTCTTGGCCTCTTCTTCGGCCTTCTTCTTATCGGCTTCAGTCTTCTTGTCAGCTTCGGCCTTCTTGTTGGCCTCCTCTTCCGCCTTCTTCTTATCGGCTTCAGTCTTCTTGTCAGCTTCGGCCTTCTTGTTGGCCTCCTCTTCAGCCTTCTTCTTATCGGCTTCAGTCTTCTTGTCAGCCTCGGCCTTCTTTTTGGCCTCTTCTTCGGCCTTCTTCTTGGCCTCCTCTTCAGCCTTCTTCTTATCGGCTTCAGTCTTCTTGTCAGCTTCGGCCTTCTTCTTGGCCTCCTCTTCAGCCTTCTTCTTATCGGCTTCAGTCTTCTTGTCAGCTTCGGCCTTCTTCTTGGCCTCTTCTTCGGCCTTCTTTTTGGCCTCCTCTTCAGCCTTCTTCTTATCGGCTTCAGTCTTCTTGTCAGCCTCGGCCTTCTTTTTGGCCTCTTCTTCGGCCTTCTTCTTGGCCTCCTCTTCAGCCTTCTTCTTATCGGTTTCAGTCTGCTTGTCAGCTTCGGCCTTCTTCTTGGCCTCCTCTTCAGCCTTCTTCTTATCGGCTTCAGTCTTCTTGTCAGCCTCAGGCTTCTTCTTGGCCTCTTCTTCGGCCTTCTTCTTATCGGCTTCAGTCTTCTTGTCAGCCTCAGCCTTCTTCTTGGCCTCCTCTTCAGCCTTCTTCTTATCGGCTTCAGTCTTCTTGTCAGCCTCAGCCTTCTTCTTGGCCTCTTCTTCGGCTTTCTTCTTATCGGCTTCAGTCTTCTTGTCAGCCTCGGCCTTCTTCTTGGCCTCTTCTTCAGCCTTCTTCTTATCGGCTTCAGTCTTCTTGTCAGCCTCAGCCTTCTTCTTATTGGCTTCAGTCTTCTTGTCAGCCTCAGCCTTCTTCTTGGCCTCCTCTTCAGCCTTCTTCTTATCGGCTTCAGTCTTCTTGTCAGCTTCGGCCTTCTTGTTGGCCTCCTCTTCAGCCTTCTTCTTATCGGCTTCAGTCTTCTTGTCAGCCTCGGCCTTCTTTTTGGCCTCTTCTTCGGCCTTCTTCTTGGCCTCCTCTTCAGCCTTCTTCTTATCGGCTTCCAGTCTTCTTGTCAGCTTCGGCCTTCTTCTTGGCCTCCTCTTCAGCCTTCTTCTTATCGGCTTCAGTCTTCTTGTCAGCTTCGGCCTTCTTCTTGGCCTCTTCTTCGGCCTTCTTTTTGGCCTCCTCTTCGGCCTTCTTCTTATCGGCTTCAGTCTTCTTGTCAGTCTCGGCCTTCTTCTTGGCCTCCTCTTCGGCCTTCTTCTTATCGGCTTCAGTCTTCTTATCAGCCTCAGCCTTCTTCTTGGCCTCTTCTTCGGCCTTCTTCTTGGCCTCTTCTTCAGCCTTCTTCTTATCGGCTTCAGTCTTCTTGTCAGCCTCAGGCTTCTTCTTGGCCTCTTCTTCGGCCTTCTTCTTATCGTCTTCAGTCTTCTTGTCAGCCTCAGGCTTCTTCTTGGCCTCTTCTTCGGCCTTCTTCTTATCGTCTTCAGTCTTCTTGTCAGCCTCAGGCTTCTTCTTGGCCTCTTCTTCGGCCTTCTTCTTATCGGCTTCAGTCTTCTTGTCAGCCTCAGCCTTCTTCTTATTGGCTTCAGTCTTCTTGTCAGCCTCAGGCTTCTTCTTGGCCTCCTCTTCAGCCTTCTTCTTATCGGCTTCAGTCTTCTTGTCAGCTTCGGCCTTCTTCTTGGCCTCCTCTTCAGCCTTCTTCTTATCGGCTTCAGTCTTCTTGTCAGCCTCAGCCTTCTTCTTGGCCTCCTCTTCAGCCTTCTTCTTATCGGCTTCAGTCTTCTTGTCAGCCTCAGCCTTCTTCTTGGCCTCTTCTTCAGCCTTCTTCTTATCGGCTTCAGTCTTCTTGTCAGCCTCAGGCTTCTTCTTGGCCTCCTCTTCAGCCTTCTTCTTATCGGCTTCAGTCTTCTTGTCAGCTTCGGCCTTCTTCTTGGCCTCCTCTTCAGCCTTCTTCTTATCGGCTTCAGTCTTCTTGTCAGCCTCAGCCTTCTTCTTGGCCTCCTCTTCAGCCTTCTTCTTATCGGCTTCAGTCTTCTTGTCAGCCTCAGCCTTCTTCTTGGCCTCTTCTTCAGCCTTCTTCTTATCGGCTTCAGTCTTCTTGTCAGCCTCAGGCTTCTTCTTGGCCTCTTCTTCAGCCTTCTTCTTATCGGCTTCAGTCTTCTTGTCAGCCTCAGGCTTCTTCTTGGCCTCTTCTTCGGCCTTCTTCTTATCGTCTTCAGTCTTCTTGTCAGCCTCAGGCTTCTTCTTGGCCTCTTCTTCGGCTTTCTTCTTATCGGCTTCAGTCTTCTTGTCAGCCTCGGCCTTCTTCTTGGCCTCTTCTTCAGCCTTCTTCTTATCGGCTTCAGTCTTCTTGTCAGCCTCAGCCTTCTTCTTATTGGCTTCAGTCTTCTTGTCAGCCTCAGGCTTCTTCTTGGCCTCCTCTTCAGCCTTCTTCTTATCGGCTTCAGTCTTCTTGTCAGCTTCGGCCTTCTTCTTGGCCTCCTCTTCAGCCTTCTTCTTATCGGCTTCAGTCTTCTTGTCAGCCTCAGCCTTCTTCTTGGCCTCCTCTTCGGCCTTCTTCTTATCGGCTTCAGTCTTCTTGTCAGCCTCGGCCTTCTTCTTGGCCTCCTCTTCGGCCTTCTTCTTATCGGCTTCAGTCTTCTTCTCAGCCTCGGCCTTCTTCTTGGCCTCCTCTTCGGCCTTCTTCTTATCGGCTTCAGTCTTCTTGTCAGCCTCAGCCTTCTTCTTGGCCTCTTCTTCGGCTTTCTTCTTATCGGCTTCAGTCTTCTTGTCAGCCTCAGCCTTCTTCTTGGCCTCCTCTTCGGCCTTCTTCTTATCGGCTTCAGTCTTCTTGTCAGCCTCGGCCTTCTTCTTGGCCTCTTCTTCGGCCTTCTTCTTATCGGCTTCAGTCTTCTTGTCAGCTTCGGCCTTCTTGTTGGCCTCCTCTTCAGCCTTCTTCTTATCGGCTTCAGTCTTCTTGTCAGCTTCGGCCTTCTTGTTGGCCTCCTCTTCAGCCTTCTTCTTATCGGCTTCAGTCTTCTTGTCAGCTTCGGCCTTCTTCTTGGCCTCCTCTTCGGCCTTCTTCTTATCGGCTTCAGTCTTCTTATCAGCCTCAGCCTTCTTCTTGGCCTCTTC